TAGAAGAACAAATGTTATGAAAATGACTCCCAAGCAGTAAATCAAGCCTTGCTACCATCCAGTGTCATGGCAACGTATTTACCATATCGTCGTAGTGTCGAGAAAGAGATAGCTCGAGATGTTACTGTCCCCATTTCCTGTGACGGAATTATACACATAATTGGGAGCAAGATGTTTAAGACTATACTCCATGCAGTCTACTCTCCACTAGAACTCCCGTCAAAGGTGATTACTTCCAGCGACAAGGAGATGGTGGGCTCTATGCTAGCTTCATGGACAAAGAGAGGGCAGGCTGTTCTTAGTAAACTCCTAAACTCAGAAATGCAAACAGCTAGTGTATCTGATACTGACATGGTATACCTGACCGACACTGTCAATTCGATTTTGCATGGTAATGGATTTCAAGCACTCGCAATTGGCACTGCTGTAGGTGAGGCAGAAGACAGTTTGTTTTCATTTCCTAACGAACGCCATTGCCTGAACTCTGGGTTTACCACCCAAAGACGGCACTTATTACAACACAGACGGAGAAGCACTGTTCGCGACGCTTTTTCCAGTTTCAGAGAAAGTTTACATAAGATATCTGCTCATTCAAAAAGGATTCACACTGATGATGATGATGATGTAATTCTCAACAAGGACTATACCACAATATACTCTTCGTTTTCGGAGTATCCCCAGCAGTCGAAAGTTCCAAACTTGGCCAAGATGACGCGTCCTTCTCTAACTGTCACTGCTAATGTTGAGGAGTCGAAACTTGAACCAGATAAAAATCTGAATGATGAGGATGAATTGCAGACTAGTGCTGCTGACTTGGCCAACACTGTAAACCATGCTATCATGCTATTCAAAAAGGGGTCGGCTGTAATTTCTGCGGCTGCAACCGAGCTAGACGATGAAGTGTTCAAGTTTCATGGAATAGAAGTTCCATTTCAATGCCAAACCTCCAAAAACAATGGTTGTCGGCGTCTCCACCACTGATGTCCGTGTCTTTTCTAGCAACGCAGATCCCCGCACTCCAGCCTGAGTCCTCAAAACTCTCATGACAGCATCTCATCGGTGATGAAGATTTCGATCGAGAGGAGGTAGTGCAACAACCTTTCATCTGAGGACTCTGGCAACTTGTCTCACCCCGTCTCTTACTCACAGCACGGCCAAACAGCACACTCTATCTCCCTAGTCTCAGACTCCTCTCCCGCTACCAATTCGCCTCCCTCATCACCACACGCTGAAATAACGCCTCCCTCATCACCACACGCTGAACTAACGCCTCCATCATCACCACACGCTGAACTATCTCCACCCCTCTCTTCCGTATTTCCAACCAGTAGAAGAAACTGGTCCTCCCTGCAGCATTGAAGAACAGCAAATTTCTCCTCTCAATGACGCGATTCCTTCCCAAGTTACTCCTAGCATTACCTCCTTCCAAGAAGACCAAAGCAGTAGCGAATCCTCGCAAACTACACCGGATAGCGATGAAGGCTGGCCCGCAAACAGCCAAATTGAAACAGTAAACGGCACACGGGTGAGAGAATGATGCAGTATTGTTGGTAGGGTCCTCATTAATGCCAAGTGTCCAAGACTGTAACGACAACCTCTCTCCCGGCTCTGAATATAACCCACAACAATCACCACATCAGCAAGACTACGCAAATTCCAACTCTCACTGTCAGCAGATGCAGTCTACTGCACTCGACTTCGGAATATTTGTCACAAACGGTCAGATTGAAACCAAGGCAAAAAAGATCGAATGCTTTGCTGGTGTGGCAGGTCCTCAATCGCCTAGCTCAAGCCCAGAAAACTCCCTCAGCATCTCTTCCCCTATCCAACAACCAGGACCCCAGTAGTACTTGTCTGACTCAGGTAATTCGTCTCACACTGACTCACGAAACTCTGCACCCAACCAGTCCTCACCCAGAGCATATTCAGAGCGTTACGGTTCAACGTCATCGTCTTCTTCCCGCTCACGCTCAAATCCTCCATCATCACATCTGGATCTTTCTGCACCTCTGTCACTTCCAATTGCACCTGCTATTGATGAACAGGGCTGTCAACCGAGCTCCACAAATGAGCTGCAGCATCAAAGACCCTCACCTAACGAGCTACATGAGCAAAGACCCTCCCCTAATACCCGATCTTCTTCCCCAGTCCCTGGAATCCCCAGTCGCAGTCCGTCTCCAGAACAGTTCGACTCAGACGTCAGCTGTCACAGCTCCGACAATGAGTGGGCCATGCCTACCATAGACACAACTGATCATGCAGCTACAACTGCTGTTCTCGTCAGTGGCGTGTCTCCTCAGCAACCCCCACTCCACGAATGAAACACACGAACAGCTACCGTTTCCCCAGTGCAAACCTTCCACGGATTTTGCAGACATCAGTGACAGTTGCACTGATGATTGATCACTGAAGTGCAAACCCTCGGCGTACTCATGACGCGCACGCGTAAGTAAACGCATGCGCCGTGCCACTAATTGATGGGCTGGGTTTAGTTCTAGCTGTTACTCGTGGTCTCTTGCCAGCTCGCGCAGAGTCTGACGCGGGCTAACTACACTACTAGATAGCATGCGAGAGGCCCTGCGTTGCATCTTCTGGTGCCTCCGAAGTACGCAGATCACGCGGATCGATCCGACTGTGGTAAGCCGTTGTGTATTTGCATATTGGCTTTTCCGCGCTCTAGCTTTGCAACGGAGCATTTTCAGAGAAAACCGCCTTTATTTTCTGACCTTCGTCGCCCGTTGGGTAGATGGTATCGTTTCTGGGACGAACAGACGTTCGAGGAGTGAGATGTAGAGTAACAGACAAACAAACAGACAGACAGACAGACAGACAGACGACCCAATGAAAAGCACTAAAGTGCAAACCCTCGGCGAACTGCTAATTGATGAGCTGGGCTGCTATTAGTATGCGTTTACTCGTGGTCTCCCGCCAGAGAGTCTGACACGGGCTAGCTACAGTAGTAGATAGTATGCGAGAGTCGATACACGCCCTTCGTTGTGACTTCTTATGCCTTCAAGATACACAGAGCAAGCGGACCCGGTCGAGGTTAAAAAGCCTGTTGAAAATATAAGCGCATGCACGTTTTCCGCGGCGATAAAATGGCCGACTACGCGCTCTAGCTTTGCAACGGAGCATTTTCAGAGAAAACCGCCTTTATTTTCTGACCTTCATTGCCCGTTAAGTAGGTCGCATCGTTTGTGAGACGAGCAGACATTCGAGAAGTGAGATTGAGAGTAACAGACAGACAGACAGACAAACCCAACTACAGTACCCTCGCTGCGCATGCGCGCCGAGGGTAACTACTGTACCCTCGCTGCGCATGCGCGCCGAGGGTAATAACTGAACCTCGCGTCTTCAATTCCTTTAATACCCTCTCCCTATCCTCTCGGCTATAGCAGTTTCTTCATTCGATTGATGGTAATAGGTTCAAACGTGTGGGAATGGGAAGTTTTGGCGCTCATTTAGCGTGAAACTCAGACGTCACTCTACGTCACTATAGACACATCAATGTGCAAGGTGGATGAGATGAAGCTACCTCAGACTAAGACTAACAGGGACCTGGAATCTCCATTGCAGCTGTGCATACAGACAAAGTGAGAGCTGTTTCAATCTTAGACCATGTTGCTGTAGCTTATTATACTGCGTTGTTTTGAAACCTATGGCCATTACTTTCTGCAGGTGGAGAAACGCTACCGTTGATTGGAATGGCACAGAGCCTTTACTGTAGCTGGTGTGTGTTATATCTCGCAAATTTTTACAGTATGTACCTTTTTATCGGTAAATTTGCTGCAGCGATCTCAGGCGGACGTCGTCTAATAGCACGTACGTATTTATCAGCCGTTTTTATACGGACGGGGGCGGGGGCGGTGTCGTCACAATTTCCGTTATCGCGCTAATAAAAGCAGGCGTCGTGCGGGGCCGAAAGAAAACTGTAGCGGTTCACATACGCACAGAGAAGAAGAGAACGAGTACTGCAATGTCAGACCGTATCCAACAGCACACTACGTTGATATGCAGCTTCTGCTCGGGCTACTTGTTCAACGCCCCGTACCAGGCGGCGTGCGGCGACAGAATCTGCGGTAACTGTCATTCCGGACTCCAAGCAAGGTGAGATAGCTATCGTCTACTAGCTCCGGTATCTGTAGATTTCTGCTGAAACTTGTGTGTATTGCATTATGCAGTCTCTAGTGCATTAAATTGTATGATGTGGCTATTTTTAGGCCGCAAGAAGGCAAGAAATCGCTCAACAACAATCACACCAAGAGCCTCTACAATCAATGCAAAATTAACGAAGAGGCTTCGAAAGAACTAACGAACTCGAACAATGCTTCCAAATTAGAACCACACTCGAAAAACATCCCAACCAACCTGAAATCCAACCCGACCGCATCTTCGACAAACCAGATCTCCAACAGCTCCCCACCACCTCCAGACAACAGCAGAACCACCAGCGAGAAAGTCAACACACAGGTATCCAGTACCACCAATGCTGAACCGCCCACACAGCAACTTGAGGAAAACGTGATTGAGGATACCCCAACTGAAAACACAAGAAATGGATCAGAAATACCACCCGAGGAACAAAGCCTAGTGATGGTTGACAGACGGTCGAGTGCCCAGTGGTCTGTTGTGTCTGGAATGATAATGTCGAATCCGTCGAAGTTTCTGCCTCAAATCGATCACGTTCGAGGTGGGAATAGAGTCTTTGAGCACGTAAAGAGGGCAACAAAGGCAATTTTCAGGCACAAATCGCGAGCTCCGTCTCACGCCCGTTCAAACCAACGCTCACCCCAAACTCCGTTGCCACTTCAGCCCGTTGATTCAGTCCACACGTCACCTTATTTCACCAGCGTTCTTCACCAGCGCTCTGTTTACAAGCAGAACTCCATGATACGATCAGTTTATTTGCTACCTAAAGTCGATGTCAGGAGCCAGTACGGTGGAAGGATGGTGCCAGTGACTGGTGGTGACAAATCATCTGGGGGAGGGGGAGCGAGTGGGGGAGGGTGTGGAGGTAAGGACAAGGTGAAGGGGGGCAGTGGAGGAGCGACTGTGGGTGGTGGCAGCAGTGGCGGTTCCGCAGGGGGAGCAGCTGGAGTGGGAGGAGCCGGGGGAGGAGGAAGAAAGGGAGGGGGTGGTAAAGATGAAAGAGACGACGAAGGGAACGACAGTGCAAGGGAGGACGACGACGAGGAAGAAGGAGAGGAAGAGGAGGGAGAAGAAGAAGAGGAGGAAGACCAGTGTGACAGTGGCATAAGCATGTCGGAATCCCCATTTGTAGCTCCCCATGAGAGTCAGTCTCCTTCCCATGAGCATCCGTGTTTCGTTCTACCTCCTCCTCTAACCCCTCCTCACAAATGCTCCGGCAGTACCCGGTCGTCCCTCTTACTCTGCCTCAACCGTGTTTTCCCTCTCCTCCTCAAACCCTGCCACCTGCAGTACAGCCGTTCCATTTCCTGCGTCCCTCAACTCTGCCCGCACCAGACCCTCCCTCCTTACCTGCGCAAAACCTTTCCTCTCCACCTCCCTCCCCACCTCCCTCGAATGCCAGCTCTGACTCTGCCTTTTTGTCAGGAGAAGAACCACAACATGATGAGCTGGTTCCCGGACCTCACGCACAGTTCCCGGACCTCACGCGCAGGTTCCCGGACCTCACGCGCAGGTTCCCAGGCCTGGCGCACAAGTTCTCGGGCAGGTTCCCGGGCCTCAGGTGCCAACCAACGATGACAGCACTTCAGATGAAGAAGAAGGCAGCAATGGTCCACTTCACTTTCCCTACCTTGCTGAGCCTCGTAGTGATTCAATGTAAAGGTAACAATAATTATCACTCCATCCCCTCCCCTCCTTGGATTAACCCTTAGCAAGCCATATATATATATATATGTAATACTATAATACTAAGCGTTAAAATGTAATACTTATTTAAGGAGATACATATGGTGTTCAAAGGGTTAGGATTTTCCCTTTTCACCAGTTACTTTTGTACCACTTTCACCTCTCAACGTAATGATACATTGAAGTGCCTTACTCTAATAGCAGTGATTTATGGTGTTCAAAGGGTTAGGATTTTCCCTTTTCACCAGTTACTTTTGTACCACTTTCACCTCTCAACGTAATGATACATTGAAGTGCCTTACTCTAATAGCAGTGATTTATGGTGTTCAAAGGGTTAGGATTTTCCCGTTTCACCAGTTACTTTTGTACCACTTTCACCTCTCAACGTAATGATACATTGAAGTGCCTTACTCTAATAGCAGTGATTTCAAAGGGTTAGGATTTTCCCGTTTTCACCAGTTACTTTTGTACCACTTTCACCTCTCAACGTAATGATACATTGAAGTGCCTTACTCTAATAGCAGTGATTTCAAAGGGTTAGGATTTTCCCTTTTCACCAGTTACTTTTGTACCACTTTCACCTCTCAACGTAATGATACATTGAAGTGCCTTACTCTAATAGCAGTGATTTCAAAGGGTTAAGGATTTTCCCCTTTTCACCAGTTACTTTTGTACCACTTTCACCTCCCAATGTGCTCAGTTTTGCTCCTAAAATGTATAACACAATGTGTATGTCATGTGCTCCCCTAAAATTTATAACGCAATGTGTATGTCATGTGCTCCCCTAAAATTTATAACGCAATGTGTATGTCATGTGCTCCCCTAAAATGTATAACACAATGTGTATGTCATGTGCTCCCCTAAAATTTATAACGCAATGTGTATGTCATGTGCTCCCCTAAAATTTATAACGCAATGTGTATGTCATGTGCTCCCCTAAAATGTATAACACAATGTGTATGTCATGTGCTCCCCTAAAATGTATAACACAATGTGTATGTCATGTGCTCCCCTAAAATTTATAACGCAATGTGTATGTCATGTGCTCCCCTAAAATGTATAACACAATGTGTATGTCATGTGCTCCCCTAAAATTTATAACACAATGTGTATGTCATGTGCTCCCCTAAAATTTATAACACAATGTGTATGTCATGTGCTCCCCTAAAATTTATAACACAATGTGTATTTGCTCCTAAAAATCAATTTTTTCACTGTGGCATGTGCTGTGCATGTGGATGCTATATAACACGGACTTCACATACATAGAGAATGAAAGCACTGAAGTGCAAACCCTCGGCGCACTGTGACGCGCGCGCGTAAGTAAACGCATGCGCCGTATATACCACTAATTGATGGGCTGGGTTTAGTTTTAGTCTCTTGCCAGCTCGCGCACGCGCAGAGTCTGTCGCGGGCTGGCTAACTACACACTACTACTAGATAGCACGCGAGAGGCGATACACGCCCTGCGTTGCATCTTCTGGTGCCTCCGAGGTACGCAGAGTATGGCGCGCCGTTTGTGTCAAAACGATTTTTCCCCGTAAACCTCAGTAATCGTGGCGACGAATCGTTTTCTGAGCGACGAATCGATTTTCGGGGCGCCGATTCTCCTTTCGTAGCGACAATTCTTCTTTCGTGGCGACGAATTTCTACGGCTAAGATTGTTTATCAAGCGACGAAAGCTTTTCAAGGAAACTAATCTTGGATTGAGGACGACGACCAGTTATATGCGGCAAGAAACTTTCCTACCGCGACGATTCATGAATAAATGATCCAGGTGAGAGAGTTCAAAGGGTAACTTACTCGAAACCCAGTAGTGGCGGGACTTTGGAAGGTACCGATCAATGTATATACTGTATTGGCTACAGGCCCTCTAGGCACTCTAGGAAAGTTGGCCTTTCAACTCTCCTACCCGATCACAGAATATCGTCGCCTTACCTGGTCGCCGCCTCAATCCAAGATTTTTCGCCTTTATGACAGAATTCTCTCGCTCGATAAACGATCGTCGCCATAGAAATTCGTCGCCGCGAAAGAGATACGTAGCCGGCCACGAAAGGAGAATCGTCGACGCGAAAACGATCTGTCACCCCGATTACAGAGGTTTACGGAAAAAATCGTTTTGACACAAACGGCGCGCCATAGCAGATGCCGTAGTAAGCAGTTGTGTATTTGCATATTGGCTTTTACCCGCTCTAGCTTTGCAACGGAGCGTTTTCAGAGAAAACCTTTCGAAATTTCTGACCTTCATTGCCCGTTCGGTAGGTGGTATCCTTTGTGAGACGAACAAACACCCGAGAAGTGAGATAGAAGTAACGGACACAGACACAGACACACACAGATCGACCCAAGTACCGTAACCCTCGCTGCGCATGCGCGCCGAGGGTTTAATGAGAGTTAGTTGTGTGCACACTGAATATAATATTATACTGGTGGGCAGTGTCAGTCGGAGGGGGTGAGGGGCTTCACTCGCTAAAAATGGCGTGAATTTTAAGATTATTTATGTGCTGCAGTCTCTTGCAGTAGTTTCTTGCAGAAAACTATAAAATGATTAACAATTAACAGTACAACATCCATTCAATTTGAAAGAGTTTAACTTTCCACAAATGAAAAATAGACATCTTATAAACCTTCACACAGAGAAGACGAATACAACATTGAAAATTCTTTTGAACGATTGAAAATTGTGCAAGTGACACACTCAAAAAATGACAATATTATGTACAAACCACTGAATAAAACGAGGAGGAGCCCCTGTTATTAGGGCAGTATTATTAATGATCACTGCTAAGCAGTTCTATACGAGAGTTTCTTGAAGAAAGCCTCCACTTCCGTTGAGCTTTTGTTGGACTGAAGAGAGATAAGGAGAGAGAAAGGTAGGTAAAACACATGTAGACAGTTCTGCTATTGATGCTATATACTTGGTTCTAGTTCACTGCACAGAAAGTGGGTACAGTTGAGGCATAAGATTTTTATGCATCACGCCATAAAAGTTTCCTGGTAATGAGCAACCTCAACATGATAGCTTACAGTCGATGGCTATTTGACTATTGCATCAAATTTTTTTTATGGATAACTGTAAAAATATTTTCCTGATGCATACGTAATATGGACATGTTGCTGCGTACTGTACTTACCGCGGTAAGGTAAAGGTCCTTGTGGTTCTGCAGCTGGTACATTCTGTCTTGTTCTGTAGCCAGTCGAGTTGCTCCCACCACTCCCACGATCTGATTGGTCGACTGGTGCCGAGTGGGCGTGGCTTCTCTGCATGGGAGGTGACCACGCCCCCGGCGACGAGTTGTCTATCCTGAGAGCGGCTGCCATGGTGACCATCTGTTCTTGTTCCTGTCTCTCTCTCTCCTCGGCCTCTCTCTCCTCTCCTGCCACAGTTCTACAGTCCTCATTCTAACGTGGTTCTCCAAGAAACGGACGAGAGGTTCCGCTATCTCGGTTTCGATGTGCGGGATTTGAGCATTGCACATCCAACTTTCGGGTGTCATTCCTTCGTGGGGACAGTCTTCACAAACGCTAGGATTGACTCACCTAGCATACTGTCTACAATGTCCAAGCGGTGGTGTAAAACGGTGTTGCGCGCGCATACACACGCAATCGCAAACGTTTTCGATTGCGTCATCTGGTGTTGCGTAATAACTGTAATTTCCGTCGCCGATCACCAACGGCATTGGCCTCCTGTCTGTCTCCTCCTGTATTCTTGATTTTAGGCCAGATCATGAAGTGAGTTGAAGCTATTCCCGTGAAGAATGTTCGAGGAAACGTTTTGAGTTACTTTTCGCGGCGCTCATGTGTTCAGCTATAGCGTTGCACATTAGCAGGTAGATGGTATAATGCCTAGAAAGAGCCCGCACGTAGATAACGTAGAGAGTCTCGCGTGTCTGTCTCGCGTGTCTGTCCCACGCTGCGGAGAAAAAACGGCGAAGCGAGGGTGTCCGGTATGGGGGTGATCAGTACCAAAACAACCTTTTGTGCCGTATGTGGTCTTGAGCACATGTACCAGCCCTTTATGTAGATGATATGGTGAATTTGACATTATGTGGTAGCTAACTTCCACATAGTGACCTACAGATTATACACTTTACATTATGTGGTCTCAGCTTGTAGGTTACTCCTCTGAGCTGACCACCAGCAGCGAGCAGGACGCGACGACGGTTGGGTGGGGTAACGTACGTCATACAATTCTATGCGCATGCGCATACCCTAACGCGACGGAATGAACTTTGAACTTTTACAACGTGCACACGTGGTGGATAGTGTGGCTAGGCTCTCTGGCTGAGGCTAGTAGAGGTAGCTGGTAGCGCAATGTCCAATAACACTCATCGTTCGTCTCCGTTTTTCGTTTCCCGAGTCAGAGACCTTCTGGCGGAAGCGGTCGAATGTCTTGACCGCCAGACACCGTCGAGTTCGTCTCCTACCCCTGCGCCTCAGCGCGGTTGCACGTAGACCCTCGAAGACCATTCTCTAGTTGAGTGCAGTTGCTTTCCGCTTGTTGAGAAGGGGCAAGACGATAGCTGGGTGGGCCCTCTAAGAAAAAGAACGAAGCATGTGGGTTCTGAATTTTGTTTGCCTGTCCGAGGACGGATGAGGGCAGGCGCTAGGGAAAGAGCCGCCCACCCCCTGGAAGCTACAGCTACCATAAGATGAAAAATTAACTTACAGTAATAAACAAGTTCAAATGAAACTCACACCATAAAATATAGCTGAAGCTGAAAAGTAAAATACACTACATTGTGTGGAAGTTAGCTACCACATAATGTAAATCCACTACATAATGTCAAATTCACCATTAATTATTATCATCTACATAAAGGGCTGGTACATAATGTGCTCAAGACCACATAAGGCACAAAAGGGTTTTGGCACTGATTACCCCCCCTACATTACGTGTTTCCCGCGTAATTATTGCATAGTCTTGTATCAGGAGAGAAATGGTCTGGTGTCCCTCACGCTAGAGACATTTCCCTTACAGGAAAATGCTTATAGTTGCACACCACTGATATTAATTACTCCGTTCCTCAATTATAGTCATTTCTTTTTCTCCCATAGTAGTGTAATCACTTACAGTGACCCCATAATTCCAAGCAGAACGCTATTTGATCTCCCTCCTCACGAAGTTGTTGAACCAAAGATAGAGTCAAATGAAAGTATTAGCAAAACTTTGAACGATTCTAATGAAGTTAACATTTTACAGAAGAATAAGGACTCTATGAAGAGCAACTTCCTGAGAAATATATGCATCAATCGAATTCCAAATAATGAACTAATTAAAGAGAAAAATAAGGGAAGAGATGTACCATCTAATCCCTCCACGCCCTCTTGCATTAACGCGACTCCAATATTTCCAAGATATGAATATTCAATAAACGAAACGACAATTACTATACCACCATACAACACGAACACAAATATACACGTCCTTGCCAGAGCCTGGCCCACACGTATGTGGTATGAGATTTTTAAACGCAAGAGGGTATTGCCTTCAAACTCCAAATGCTATGTTATTGGTATAGATCAGGATCATGCAACCTGGTGGAGTTCAGCTGAATGGGTAGAAAATTCACTTCCAACCTCAAAGAAAGTTAGGTCTTTCCACAGTGGAAGTGGCAAACTGATGAAGCGTG